GTTTGCTTTAAAAAAAAAAAAAGGGAAATACTAGTTTGAAATTCTTATGAAAAATACCTTAAGCAGTTATCAGTGCCTGGTCCATGCAGGGTGATGCTCCTCTCCCCCTTTGATGATATTCCATGGTCATCTTTGGCCATCCACCTGACCTCAGAGGGCCTAGGAGTCTTCTCTGGGGAGGGGGTCACTCCTCTGGGGGTGTGTTACTGAAAGAATAACCTGCTGCTGCCAGCTGAACAAAGTCTTCCAGGACCATCACACCTGCCCATACCCCTTTGCACCGGCTCCTCCCTCTGCCTAGAACATTCTTCCAGGTGCTCCCAGCTTCTTCCCTCACATCCCAAATGCCTGCCTTCCTGTGCAGTCTTCCCTGATCACCTTCCCTTAAGAGGTCAAGACCTCCTATATCCTTTGCCCCTGACCTGTCTTACTTTTCTCCTTAATGTTCATTCCTTTCTAACACATAATTTACTCCCTTATCTTCTGTATTATCTGTCTGCCCCACCAGATGCAAGCTCCACCATGGCCAAGATTTGGGTGCATGTTTTATTCACTCCTGTCTCTCCAGGACCTGGTACAATGCTTGGCACCCAGGTGTTGAATAAATACTTGCAGAATAATTGAATGATGAGTGACAGGTTACTCTGCTTTTCTTCCTCCAAAGCCTGACTTTCTAAATACCCCCAAATAGGGCTCAGGATTATTCTATCAGAGAGAAATAGTCACTTGTTGCCCATGATGAGAAATCATGAAAGGATGAAGGCAGGTGCAAGAACACTCCCATGTCACATTGCCATTTGTCATCAAATGAGAGGTCTCAGAGGATGCAAGTGGCCTTTTTCCATTCTCCCCTGGAGGTGAAATGTTGACCGGTCCAGCCCACAGAGAGGACAGGAAAGTATGGGGAAGGGTTGCAGCCTTCCCATGGGGCCTCCCTGGGGTCATTCAGAGCAAGTCAGGAAGGTCCAGATTGGAGGGAAAGATGCCCCACTCACATGTGCTCGGGGCGGGAGCTGTAAGCCGGCAGCTGCTAGAGGTTTCCTTGTACTGACTTTGAAGGCAGGTGTCGCGGTGGTGAAATCAGGCTGTGTGGTGCGAGGCCTGGCTCTGTGCTGGGAGTGATGAACAAAGGATCAGTGTCGGGGACCTACTCCATACCTCAATTGGCGGTGCTGCTCTGTTGCTGAAACAGGCACCTCTGTGACGGCCTAGAGGGGTGGGATGGGGTGGGTGGTGGGAGTTCAAGAGCGAGCGGATGTGTGGATACCTATGGCTGATTCATGCTGATGTATGGCAGAAACCAATGCAACGTTGTAAAGCAATTATCCTCCAGTTAAAAATAAATTTAAAAAATAACCAGATGGAGGCACCTCGAGGAATTAGTGCCTGGACGCTGTTCCTCAGAGCAAGGTTGGGGAGTTGTGAATTGGATGGATGTTATCCTTGACTCTAAATGAGAAGAAACTTTTAAAAGCATCTGGGCTTTCTCTTTCAACAGAATAAGGGAAAGAAAAAAAAAAAAACCTAAGAACAAGAAATGTACTGTTACACAGATAACACGACTCTTATCTCACCATACCCAGCACAGACCCAGAAAGAGTTGTTTTTTGCTACTAGTGATTTGTTCTCCTCTCCCAGATGCTCTGAATTTTAAATGCTGAGCTTACACTGATCTCATTCATCTTGTTTCTGTCCCTTTTTTAATGTCAGCCCCCACTTAAAAAAAAATCAAAATGTATTTGTTTTGAAAGACAGTGAGATGGGAGGTCTTGTGGGAGCGGTGCCTGGAGCTGGTCTCAGCCCCACACACGTCTTGCTCCCTTGGGAACTGGGTGGTTGATAACCCCTCTTTCACCGGGCTTTTCTCAGCTGCTGTTAATCTTGCTATAAACACTTCCCGAGGCTTACAGTCTATCTGAGTGTCTCTCCTAATTACCTGTTAACATTTTCTAGAAATCAGTTCCCTCCCAGAATGAACTGGTGAGCTCTCATCACAACATCTGGTTGGGCATCGCTGGCATGAGAATGAGATTTAGCCTCCGGGATCAGGCCTGAGATAGGGCATTCTGGGAAAAACTCACACAGGAGAAGGTTCGATCTCTTCTACTGCAAAGGACTGTTTTCTATCCCCTGTGTAATAAATACATTGTATTTTCCACACAAAGGCCTTCTCAGTGGGCAGAATTATACTCATTCTTGTGGCTCCTCATCTGAAGCTATTCAGCATCACTTTGATACCAGGAATAATCAATCTGCCCAGGAAAGTTACAGAGAGTTCAAAAGGAACTTTGTTACAGCACTCCAGATAAGTCTTGGTTTATGGCCATTGTATCCAAGAGCAAGACTTTGCATGTATTAATTTGCCTGTAGATTAGATTTATACTTCAGAGTTAATAACCTGAGATGGATAGAAAACACTTGGGGAGGTAGCAGTGTTGCCCGTTTGGCCCTGGAACTCATCACAGTCTTGAGAGATTTCCAGATTCAGTCATTGAATGGTAGCTAGTCTGTCATCCTCAGGGAGACAGAGCAGCACTCATTGGTTTGGCCAGTTGACTGGGATCCAATTATAATGTCATCCTCTAAACGTCAGCATGGGAGAGGATGCTCAGGCTTGCTGGTGGGCAGGCTCTGCTTCCTCACTGAGTAATAAAACTTGGCTTTCTGGTGGGTTTAGCCCTTATAATTGCTGCCTAAGACATGGGGAAATGTGTTCGTAAAAGGGTCAGATGTTCTGTGTATGTTAGGGAACACTAGCAGGTGTAGGCAACAAACCCCCAGTTTCCAGTGGTTTACCGTCCTAGATGGGGGGTTCCTTTCCATGTGCTGCTGTGGAGCTCTGCGCCGTGTAGTCAGGACCAGCCTGGTCCCCTGCTAGGATGCTGGAATGCTCTGAGCTCAGCTGGCCACAGGGAAGAGGAAGGAATAGCCACTTAATTGCACGTCATTTCATCCCTGCTAACTCTGTCACCAAGAATTGTCACACAGCCCATCCAGGTGCAAGGGGGCTGGCACGGCCCCTCATGGCCGGGGAAGGGGGAGCGTGAGCTTTGCGGGGAAATTGGCCAGCTCGGCACATCCCTCTGCAGGCCTGGTTTTTAGAGACAAGAGCAGGACCCACACTTCTGACCACCTCTGTGCTTTTAAGGCTGTGCCTCAGGAGACAGCAATTTGCCCTTCTTGGGTCCAAACCAGCATCAGCCGTGCTCTGACCACCGCCCCCCCTTCCCGCCACAAGGGGTTGTGTCCCCCTGTGGAGATGACGTCTGCGAAGCCAGGGAGCTGATAAGCTCAGTCATTTCTACCTTCCTCCTGCCTCAGGGTAGCAATTGCCTTTATTACTGTTTTTAATTGAAGTATATTTGATTTACAATGTTGTGTTAGTTTCTAGTGTACAGAAAAGTAATTCAGTTATATATAGTTTTTGATTCTTTTCATTATGGGTTATTAAAAGATACTGTATTAATATATCATCCCCATGCTATATATTAGGTCTCATTGGTTTTGTTGTTCAGTCGCATCCAACTCTTTGCGACCCCATGGGCTATAGCACCCCAGGCTTCCCTGTCCATCACCAGCTCACAGAGCTTGCTCAAACTCATGTCCATCGAGTCGGTGATGCCATCCAACCATCTCATCCTCTGTTGTCCCCTTCTTCTTCTGCCTTCAATCTTTCCCAGCATCAGGGTCTTTTTCACTAAATCGGCTCTTTACATCAAGTGGCCAAAGTATTAGAGCTTCAGCTTCAGCATCAGTCCATCCAGTGAATATTCAGGGTTGATCTCCTTGCAGCCCAAGGGACTCTCAAGAATCTTCTCCTTGTTGGTTATCTGTTTTATATATAGTAGTTTGTTATCTGCTAACCCCAACCTCCTAATTTATCCCCCTCTCCCTTCTACTTTGGTAACCGTAAGTCTGTTTTCTATTTCTGAGAGTCTGTTTCTGTAAATAAGTTTATTTGTATCAGTTTTTATATCCCACGTGTAAGTGATATCAGATGGTTTGTCTTTCTCTGTCTTCTCTTAGTGTGATAATCTCTACGTCCAGCCATGTTGCTGCAGATGGCATTGTTCATCCGTGTTATGGCTGAGTAATATTCCCTTGTACGTATATGTACCATACCTTCTTCATCCATTCATCTGTTGATGAACATTTAGATTGTTTCCATGTCTTGGCTGTTGTAAATAGTGCCGCTATAAACATAGGGTGCATGTGTCTTTTTTAAATTAGTCTTCATTTCTGGATATATGTCCAGGAGTGGGATTGCAGAATCATATGGCGACTCTATTTTCAGTGTTTTTGAGGACACTCCGTGCTGTTCTCGCTAGTAGCTGCACCAGTTTACATTCCCGCCCACGGTGTAGGAGGGCTCCCTCTTCCCCACACCCTCTGCATAGACTTTCTGATGATGGCTATTCTGATCAATGAAGTTAGAAAACTTCCTCACATAGTTATATTACAAGCTACAGGTCCTACGTCTTCACTTCCCATTGTATCATTTCACACAGAACTATTAATGATGTCTGTAATGAGACACTGTCTAACGTTGTCGATTTGAAAACCATCCAAAGATCATTTCTTTTGGGATAAAGTACTTGTGGCTTAGATGGTAAAGAATCTGCCTGCCGTGCAGGAGACCCAGGTTCCATCTCTGGGTCAGGAAGATCCCCTGGGGAAGGGAATGGCAACCCACTCTGGTATTCTCGCCTGGAGAATTCCATGGAGAGAAAGGAGCCTGGCAGGCTACAGTTCATGGGGTCACAAAGAGTCAAGATACGAATGAGCTGGTAACACTTCCTCATTCAGTGGTGCCGGAACTGTGCAGGATTGGAGCGCAGGGTGTAGCTGAAGGTGCCTCATTTTACAGCGGTCAAGCTTTGTTCACTGAGAGAGTGACCACCCGCCCAGATGATGACCGTGGCCACCACGCACCCTGGCACAAGAAGGATGCACTGGCCATTCTCTTCCCGGGCAACTGACGTCCTGCCTCCTTCCCGCAGGTTCCCGTTCCCCATGATGTTCAGCAGCTGCAGCAGGAAGGACCTGGAGGCCAGCCTGGAGAAGGGCATGGGCATGTGTCTGTTCAACCTGCCGGAAGTGAAGCAGTCCTTTGGGGGCCAGAAGTGCGGGAATGGATACGTTGAAGAAGGAGAGGAGTGTGACTGTGGGGAGCCGGAGGTAAGAAGCATTTACAGCACATTTGTCTCCCGTTTACGGCTGGGCCAGCCAGCAAGAATTTGAAGGAATTGTGCAGCAGAATGAATAGTGCTGCAGAATTGGGATGGGCAAGTCCTCGGGCCACCTCCAGCCAGCTTCATAAGCCAGGATCGCCTTCTTGAATGCTAACTATTGTGAGAATTAAGTTGTATCACTGGTTTAAAGAGATAGAGTCTTCTCTGTTGAAGGACGTGGCAGTCTCGGGAAGATGAGGACGAGAACAATGAAAAAGCATTTAGCTTTGAGTTTGACAGAGAAGAAAGCCTTGGAATGCTGGCTTCAAATGGCTAATAAGCCCCAAGTCTTTCTCTCGGCAAGGTGTGCAGCCCGAGGGGAATTTGAATAAGCAGCATTCCCGTCTAACCAAGAGATGCTTCCCGAGTTGAAATTCTGCCCTCGTCTCCGCAGCCTCCTCTGTATGTGTGACCTGAGGCTCCCAGTATCCTGTCTCTCAGCTTGTCAGCTTTCAGAAGCAATAAGCGAGAGCGGGGAACATTTTTAATCCAAGGAAAGGCTTATTTCACCCTGCTTTCCGGCTACTGTCAGGACGTTTTCTTGCTTCCATAGGGCCCAGTGTAAAGTTAATCAGCATCAAAATTGTAGCAGCCATTTTTTTTTTAAACTCTGAATAATCTTGGGAAGGAGAGAGAAAGGACACAGTGAGACTGCCTGGTAAAACAAGAGCCCCCTCAAAGCTTGGAGGAGGTTGTGTTTAGAATAAATCAAAGTCGCCCGTTTGCATAGCAGACTGTCTACATGTGGAAGTCCCTCTCTGGGAGCTTATGCAAGCTGCAGACAAGTTCAAGGCGGGTATAGCTAAATTCACAGATGGGCCTGGTGAGGGCTTAGGAAGAGCACGTCTTGGAGGGCTGCTCTGAAAGGGGGGATTCTAGGATGGAAGGAGACTTGTGCTAGATTTGAGACTTCCCTCGCGTCGCTCTGTTCATCAGACAAACAGCTGGTTGTGGACTCTTCACCGTACCCCACCCTCTCTAAGTTTCTGAGCTTTCCACGGCAGCAGGAATAGTCTAGGCTTCCATCCGACCATTCCTATAAGAACACTGAGACGGAATGTCAGTGCTCGGGGGCGGGGGTTGAAGAGGCAGCTTGATCAAGTGTTTCTGTGCCCTTCCCAAACTCAGGATTCGCCCAGGGTCACAGCACTGTCCATGAGGGTGTTTAATTTTGCTCACAGCACACAAAGCATGGTTACTATGCAGGAACAAAATCCTAATTATGGCCTTACAGGAACTCTTTTTGATGAGTGGAAGAAAGCTTGAAACCATCTTGAGATGGGTTATACAAAGGGGAAATTGTTCAGAGATTTTTTTTTTTCTCATTGCTTAAAAGAAAGAAACAGTTAGTTTAAATTACTCCTGTTTCTCAAGAGAGGTCAGGTTGACTTGAAATGGTTTATCTTTTGTTTGAACTCCTTGTAATTGTTTATTAATTTAAATAAATTTGGCAGCTCTCCCTGAAGCCACGAACTCTCAGGTTTGGGATGACTCTATCAACAGTCATTTATTCCATAGACCAGCATGGCTGCCAGCATCCCTGCCTCCCTCCACATCAGCAGGGTTAACATCACCACAGTTACCATTTCCACCACCATCATTGTTGTCATTTCCACCACCTCCATGTCTTCATCTCCACTACCATCACCAGCATCACATCAGCAAATCCTTGAGTGCCTGAAATTTGCCATTGATATTTGTGATCTTCTCTTTTACCCCCATCAAAGAGTCATCCAGCTTTGACAGGGGGTTTACTATCTCTCCAGGCAACTTACTGCCTTGCAGGACAGATTTTGATGAAATCAAGCCCTTTGCTTAGGCAGAGCCATACTCTCCCTGCATGTTATTCTATGTGTAGGGCCCTCATTTAATAAGTCCTTGATATCTGAAGAGAACTCTCATTCTTTTCATCCAGAGTTCTTTCTCCCAAGAAATCTTTGAAAGTCATCTGTCCATGAGGGTGTTTAATTTTGCTCACAGCACACAAAGCATGGTTACTATGCAGGAACAAAATCCTAATTATGGCCTTACAGGAACTCTTTTTGATGAGTGGAAGAAAGCTTGAAACCATCTTGAGATGGGTTATACAAAGGGGAAATTGTTCAGAGATTTTTTTTTTTCTCATTGCTTAAAAGAAAGAAACAGTTAGTTTAAATTACTCCTGTTTCTCAAGAGAGGTCAGGTTGACTTGAAATGGTTTATCTTTTGTTTGAACTCCTTGTAATTGTTTATTAATTTAAATAAATTTGGCAGCTCTCCCTGAAGCCACGAACTCTCAGGTTTGGGATGACTCTATCAACAGTCATTTATTCCATAGACCAGCATGGCTGCCAGCATCCCTGCCTCCCTCCACATCAGCAGGGTTAACATCACCACAGTTACCATTTCCACCACCATCATTGTTGTCATTTCCACCACCTCCGTGTCTTCATCTCCACTACCATCACCAGCATCACATCAGCAAATCCTTGAGTGCCTGAAATTTGCCATTGATATTTGTGATCTTCTCTTTTACCCCCATCAAAGAGTCATCCAGCTTTGACAGGGGGTTTACTATCTCTCCAGGCAACTTACTGCCTTGCAGGACAGATTTTGATGAAATCAAGCCCTTTGCTTAGGCAGAGCCATACTCTCCCTGCATGTTATTCTATGTGTAGGGCCCTCATTTAATAAGTCCTTGATATCTGAAGAGAACTCTCATTCTTTTCATCCAGAGTTCTTTCTCCCAAGAAATCTTTGAAAGTCATGGGCAAGCTTTTTGCCTCAATTTTTAGTTTTCTAATGTTTAATTTTTTTTATTTGTTTACTTTTTAAGGTTTAAGGTCACGCTGTGCTCTGATGGTATGAAAGCCCATTTCCAGTTTCCAAACTGACCATTACTTTAGTGAACCTGGGTTCTTTATTCCCCTAGTCAGCGCTCAAGCACTGTAAATAACCATCACACCTTTGTTTCTATCATCCCATGTATCCCCTGGATCATAAAGCACTCTAGCATCGCCACCTCGGTGAGTAAATGGGTCAGAACCACTGCCCCAGCTCACAACGGGAACCAGCTGGTGCTCCCAGAAATAATGGCCACTCTTTTCAAGAAGATGCATTGTTGTCTCAGCCCAGTTCATGGTGACTGAGAACCTCTGTCTGCTACCTACAACCCAAGAATGACAATTAGGGCATCTGCTGAAAATCCTCTCACGGCTTCATTACTCTTCAGTCGTTGGAGGCTGAGTGTTCGTCGACTCTGTTGAACTTCTCTATTGAATACTAAAATAATAGCTGCATCAACAGATGAAGCATTTGTCCCTTCTGATAAACAGTGTTCTGCAGAAGAAATAGATTCTGGGTAGTTAAAAGGCAAGTGAGTGCTGAAGCCTTGAGTCCAGGACATTAGATTTATATCCACCATAAGGGTATTCTGACAACTCGCTCATTCTTTCAAGCTAATAGGGTTGAAAACGCAGCCTTATCTCCTTGTTTAAAGTCAATTGCATGCCAGTAGCTTGCAAATATCTTTTAAACTTAGTTATCTTGCTCACATTATCAATCCCTTTTGAAGTCAAAACCATGCTACTTGGCTTCATTTCCATTTGAACATCTGTGTATATTATTTAGTAGTTTCGTGGGGGGGGTGGGGGGTGCTTGGGACCTGGTTCTTAAAGGATCTTACAAACCAGTTTTAGGATGGCTGATATACCTTAGAAGTGCAAGGCAGTCTGTAATGTGTCATTGGCCCATGTGTCATCAGAAGAACCATTTAGACCATACATACAGACAGCATCACTATACGTGTGGTGGCACTGATTGGGAGTACCACTGATGGACTCCGTTTATAAAAACACAACAAGTTCCTGAATGTTTTAGGATTGTAAATCCATGAGTTAGAAATCCTTACTGTCCTGAAAGTTACAGTGTTGGCTTCTGGTTGGCAGTTTTCTCTTCCTGTATATATTACACACTCTGGATGTTTATAAAGTCTTTGAGCAAATTTAAAATTGAATATGTATGTGGGTGTATGTGTATGGGGTGTATGTGTAATAGGAGTGAGCAGTCACTGGGAACATCATTCATAGAGTTTTACACTGGATACAGTTGAGATATCCTGGTTGAGCCATAATTCCTCTGGATTATCAATGTTTTATTCATTGCATTTATGATACTGATGATAAATTCATTCATGGGAAATGGTTTGGGGAGTAAACTGTTACACTATGAAAATAGTATGTGATGGGCCTGTAGCCAATAATATATGAATACTTCAGCACAGACCCTATATAAGAGAAAATAAAAGGACATTGATCAATTCAATTCTGAAGACTCTGTGGAACTCCTCTTTCTAATGGCAATTCAATTTCTTCTAAAATGTGTCAACTCCAAGTTCCCAGAATGTCCTAAAGCACACGATGTCGTAAATACACTGAATAGATATGTGCAGGCCTTCTGTTGAGAACTAAGCAAAACTATAGCCTCTTGTTTCTTTATGCTAGAAAAAATTGAGTACCTGTGAAATGCAGCATAACACAGGAGCTCACTTCCTCTCACGCGTTTATTTCAGAGAGGACCATCCATCTACTATTTGATCTGTTTAAATCCCTTGCAAATCTATGGGCACAGCCCACAGACCTCCTTCCGGTCTCTTGCTCATTCTAAGGTGTTCTTCTGACCTGGGGAGTGTCTTGGTGGGTGAGACACCTCCCTCTGCTGAGTAAGAGTCCAGCTGTGGCTTCAGGCTAGACTGCTGTGGTTCAAACACAACTATTTTGACTTTATTTCCTGCCACTGTGCTCTAGGTTAAACTCTGGATTAGTCTTTGAAGAGTTAAGTTTGTACGTATCTATGGAGATTTTTAAACACGTTGAAAGGGCTCCAGTGATCCTTATGCCGGTCACTGCACTGAGGCCCACGGTCATCACAGCCACACATGGCCCCACCCGCTGCCGATGAGAATGGCCTCTGGTGCCAGCCAGCCTTCTGTCCCAGTCCCTCACCCCATCGTGAAAGACGCTTGAGTGCTACTGACTTTTCCCAGGGACACGCACTCCCAGGCAGTTCATAAACACTTACCAGAAGCTCTGCCTTCTTCCAAAGGAAGCCAGTCCTCGGGCAGGCTGGTTTTCCACTCAGGAGCCAGGCCCTCCGGTCCTTTCTTCCCTTTCCAGTCACTGAAGGTGCAACCTTTGCTTTTGGTGAGCAGTGGCCCCCTGTGACNCCTCGGGCAGGCTGGTTTTCCACTCAGGAGCCAGGCCCTCCGGTCCTTTCTTCCCTTTCCAGTCACTGAAGGTGCAACCTTTGCTTTTGGTGAGCAGTGGCCCCCTGTGACCCTGTCAAACCTGTTCCCATCTCCAGGAATGTCAGAATCTCTGCTGCAATGCCACCACCTGTACCCTGAAGCCAGACGCTGTCTGCGCGCACGGACTGTGCTGTGAAAACTGCGGGGTGAGTCCTCCTGCTCCCAAGGTCACCCAGGGGTTCTGCGGGTTCAACACCGCTGCAGGGCAAGCTACAGGGCAGGGTGATTTCCCAGCGCTCACTGCTGGGGTAGCTGTGGCCCTTACCATGCAAGTTGGTACTGTACCTCCTATTTTATCTTCTAATCTTTGTGTGAAATGCACATTTTAATGCTAAGTCATCTGCAAAAAAATTATTTATGAGCTGGAAAGGAATTGGACCAAAAATCTCAGGCTGCCCATTAACTGTTCTGGTCGTGCTGTTGGAGGAAGTCTTCGAGAACCAGACCCCCCTCTCTCAGGGAGGACTCACATCAGTTCCCTCGGCTCCATCCCAAGAGTGTCTGCCTGCTGGCTGAGGCGCTGGGTGGGTTGTTCTCCAGGGACTTGGGTTCTCCACAACCTCAACATCTTGCTCTTGAGGACCCCCGACAGAAGGTGCTGGCTGACCCAGCCCAGCCAAGTTGGCAGTTTTAGCCTCTGCCGTTTTCTGCCACCCTGACTGCAATCGTGTTGGCAGTTCCATCGTTTGTCTCACTGTTCAGAGCTGAGATCTGGCAGGGTTGGAGTCTGAGCTTTTGATTCAGATGTTCCAAGGGTAGAGTTTTATTTCCTTTTAATTAAGCAATTGATCTTGACCTTCTGCTTGCAGGAAACTCCCTCTTAGCCACCCAGGCAGAGCGCAGTGTTTCCAAAGTGCATTGTGACATTTTACATTCAGCTTAAAGTATCCTTCAACCCTTTCCTGTGATTAGCTTATGGGGATGTTAAAGAAGCTGGCACCCCTGGCTTGCAGCTGCTGGTGGTGGAAGTCCCTGGAGAGGGGGCTTTGAGGCGGGGCTGGTCACTGGCTGTATAACGCCAGACAAGCCACCCTGAGCCATATGCTCCTCAGCCTCAGAAAGAGGAGGCATCGTTTGGATGGTTCCTAACACCCTGTGTGGCTCCTTTGGTTTACTGCTTCTCTCCCTGCCCCTGTAAAGTCCTACAGACAAGCTTCCAGCTCTGTGATTTGATAGCAAAGTAAAATTACTGTTGCAAGTATGCCCTTGGAATGATTTTTGTTATCTTGCCCACAAAAGTGAACGCTTTAAGTGCAAATGTCATCTTAAAACAAGTGATGGTGTTGGTGACCAGAGATCTTGTTCTTAAGAATTGATGGGTCCGTCAGGCAGCACCCCACTCCCCGCCTCCTCCAAGGTCCAGGGGCCAGCAACCAGCTTATCTGCTCACCAGGAAACCCTGATGTTGCAGGAAACTAAAAAGAGCTTCACCTTAGTTGCCCCCACCACCCTACAGTGGAAAGGTGAACCCCAGAGCCCAGAGGGAGACTCTCTACTTAATGAGCTCTCCCTTCAGTAAAGGGAACTTCCTTTGAAGTCTGCACCCATCTACGTGAGGCTTCACGAGGGTGGCCCTGCTTCCATCTGCCCGGAGTGTTACTGAGACCGCGCTTCCCCCTTCCCTGCAGTCCCGTGCTTATAACCCGCCCTGTCCTTGCAGCTGAAGCCGGCAGGAACCGCGTGTAGGGACCCCAGCAACGCCTGCGACCTCCCGGAGTTCTGCACGGGGGCCAGTCCTCACTGCCCTGGGGAAGGATGTTCAGAGGGAGGGCCCAGCGTGGGAGGCCTGAGCACCAGAGGAAAGAGCTTGGAGACAGGTGTTCAAGGGCCTTGAATGCCTTTTTGTTCTGAAAGCAGAGTGACAGAGGCGTGTGTCCTAGAAAAAAGCACCCAGGTGGGAAGGTGGCCAGGAAGCGGCCTCTGTGTGGTTGGGTCCCTGAGAGACGGTTCATCACTTCCTGCCCGTGGGCCTCTGGACCTGGGCTCAGCCTGGTTTGCGTAACCCTCCCAGGACAGGACGCCTGAGGTGGAGACAATGACCGCAGCTTTACGGAAGGTAGAAGCTCAGACTCAGAGGCCGGAAGTCATTTCCCAAGGTCGCGAGGCTGGGATTATGACCCAGAGCCCAGCCCGGAGTTCCCACGCTGGGCCATCACCCCGAAGAGCCAGGCCTCAAACCCAAGTTCCACAGAAGCTCTAACATCAAACACATGCCCGGAAGCGAAAGGGGGCAGGGCCCATCCCGTGTGTCTCTCTCCTCCGTTGCACCATCTTCTGGGGCCTCAGGAGGGCCTCGGGCAGGGTGGCCCAGAGCAGGGGCCCGTCACCCCGGCATTGGCCCCTTGTTCCTGCATCCAGGATTCTGACAGTGAGTCCCACAGTGGGTATTTTCCAAGACTGTGTCCCAACAATCTTGTCTGTCTTCTGCCCCTTCCCGCTGGCTGCAGGACGGCCTTGGTTCTGACCGGAGGCCCCAGCTGTGGCAAGGCCACTGTGGTCAGTCAGGCCCAGGCAGGGGGCCAGGCCAGCTCGGGCTCTGTAGGGGAGAGAGAGCCGATGCGGGCCTCTGTCCGACTTTGATGGTGGGGTTTGGGGTTTAGGAGTGATGAGGGCAAACAACAGTGACAACCTCGGAGTTTGGGTTTGAAGCATGATGTGGAAGCAGTGGCCCGAGCGTGGAGGACAGAGCAGACATTGCTTAGGACTGGGGGGCTCTCATGGAGCCCACTACCACCACCCTGCAACCAAGTCAGTGCTCCCGTGCACAGGGGGACCTTCTGACGGAGAAGAGAGTGCAGCCCGGATGCTGCAACAAGGGGTTCACCGTGCCCCCATTTATCTTGTTCTCTGGAGAGTGCTTCCGAGGCCTCGGGCTTCACTGATGAGCTTCTTGTTCAGTCACTAAGTCGCATCTGACTCTTTTCAACCCAGTGGACTGTAGCCCGCCAGGCTTCCCTGTCCTTCACGATCTCCTCGAGTTTGTTCAAACTCATGTCCATCGAGTCAGTGATGCCATCCAACCATCTCATCCTCTGTCGCCCCCTTCTCTTCCTGCTCTCAATCTTTTCCAGCATCAGGGGCTTTTCCAGTGAGTCAGCTGATGAACTCAGGTGGGTAGAAAGAGGAAGTGGTGGTACCCAGAGCCTTAGTGCTTGGGCTCTGGAACCTGAGCAGCACCCAGACCTCCTCCCCAGCTGGGCAGGAGGGCCTCCAGGCAAGGTAGGACTCACAGCTTCAAACGCTTCCCCGTGACAAGCGCCAAGGAGGTGCTCACTATCTCCATGTCACACGGTTGTACGGGCTCTGAACGGCTGAGTGACCAGACACCTTTTAGCCGAGTGGGGTCACTTTGGGTCAGCGTTGCTGCCCCAGGCCAAACCTTTGTGGCCTGAAGCGTCCCTAGTGGCCATCCCTGCCCAGCCTCTCCCCAGAGTCGGTAATCTCCCCGTCTTGAGTTACAGGGGACTTAGTTGCAATGCTCCCTTCCAAGGAGCGTTCCGTGGCCAGAGCACACACAGCACTCGGAGCTGTTGGAGCGAAGCGTGGCCTTCGGTGCCCTGCTGACTTAGAGCGTCTGGCCCCGGCTCCAGGGTGAGCTCAGATGGAGCCCCACGGCCCTCTGAGCCCGGCCACTGAGTGACTCAGCTGGCTGCGGGCCTGTGACTCATGGTGACCAAGGCTGGTGTTCATTATCTCATCTGATTAGTCCTTCTTGAGCTGCCTGACCAGAGAGAGAGAGGCAGACAGGCAGACAGACTCACAGACTGAGCTTTTCAAGAGCAGAAACAGTAGGGAGTTACCTGCTTGGACCCACCACGTCCTTGCGAGCGAGGGTGGGGCCTGGCTCCCCAGGGTCCGGGCTGGCCCTTTCTCTCCCCTCCCACTCACCCTGGTGACGGAGGAGGCCCTTGCCCAGCAACGGGGGGCTTGCTCTGAGGGGCGTGGCACACAGACTACCTATCTCTGACATCAGAAGCGCCCAGTTCCTGGAAACGACCGGTGTGGGGACTAGGTTGGGGGAGTCCTCCAGGCTGGTGGCTTGTTGGGATCCATCTCTCTTGACCTTCTTAGTACTTCCAGTCATCGCACTGACATCCTCAGGAGCATAGAGAACTTGGTGCCAGAAGCAGCAGGGGCTGTCTGAACCAGGGGGTTTCTTAAAAGCCCCGTCAACCACTGCTTTGCTAATGTGGGGTATTCCTTTCCTTATATCAGTGTGACGGCCTCGCTCTCCAGTTCAGGGCTCTGGGTGAGCTTCCTGTGTCTGCTTTCACAGCGGCTGATGACACCACGTGTTTATCACCTTCTAGTTCCTGGGGTCAGAAGTCCTAAAATCAAGATGCTGGCAGGGAAGTGTTACCTTCAGAGGCTCTAGGGGAGCATCTGTTTGCTGGCCTTTTCCAGCTTTGAGGGGCTGCCTGCGATTCTTGGCTCGTGGCCCCTTCATCCGCCTTCAAAGCCAGCAGTACAGAATCTTCAAGTCTCTGTCTCTGTGACTTCCGCTTCTGTGGTCAGATCTCTGTCTCTGACTTTGATCCTCTGCCTCCCGCTTACAATGACCCTTGGGATTATATTGGACCATCCAGGTTGCCCAGCATCATTTCCCATCTCAATTTCTTAATCACATCCTCAAAGTCCCTTCTGCCGAGTTAGGTCGCATAGTCACAGGGTTCAAGGATTAGGACGTAAGGCCCTCTTGGGGGTCCGGAGGCACTGAATGGACCACTTGCTAAAAGGGTGACCTTCAGCAAGTTACCCAGCCTTCTTGTGCCTCGTGTGTAAAATGGGGAGAGTAAAACGCCTACTGCGTGGGTATTTTGTTGTCCCCTACCGTAACTTGTCTATTTCATGTCTATGAATATATTACACGTATATAGTAGCGTGCAGTAGCTTGCAGCTTGCACAGTGCCTGGGGCTGTGGGGAGGGCGTTGATCTGGTGGGAAAAGAGGAGGGACTTGGGCTCAGCCTGGGGCAGGGTTGGAGCGGGTGGTGGTAAGAGCAGGAAGGATCCTAAACAAGGCTGCCCTGGAGTAGTCATCGCCAGGGCAGGAGAGGAAGGGAATTCCTGTGTCCAGAACATCAGGGGCCGAGGTGCACAGGAGCAGGGGCCCATCCCAGGGGAACCACAGGCTCTTGTGCTTGTCCAGAGCTTGGGCTGTGACTTGGAGAGCAGAGAGCCCTGTCTCCCACCCCGTACTCTCATTCAATAACTATTCAACCATGTCCTGCTCTTGTGAGTTGCTGACCAAGAGCCCTGGTCCTGCCAGAGGGTCACACTTCCCACAGCCCCAGTGCACTCCCGCCTGGGACCTGCAGTAGAGTCAGGATGTGACCGTCACAGTTCCGGGGAACAGAGGTCGCTTCCTCTGCCAGGTCCCAGCCAGCTAGCTGCAGCAGGCAGAGAGCAGTATATTGCTGTGTTACTGTGGTCGGTTTGCATTAACTTTTCATGATTCAGAAGAGGAAAGCTTACTGTCAAGGATGCAATGAGTTCAGGATATAGTCTTTCATTTCCCAGCCTTTATCAAATGCTCTGGGATCGGGACCATGTGTGCTTTGGGGTCACTTTCAGCCCCCTAGGAAGCCCAGTGACTCAGAAATCTAGGGCGCTTGCTCTGGCCCCTGCCGCTGGCATCCAAGTAACCTGGCCAGCATCATCTGTTACATTCAGGAAATCATCAGTTACTCACTCCTCAGATCTGGCTACCCGAACACTGACCGAAGGAAGCCCTTCCTCCCAGCTAACTAATTCCCTTTTGAGAGGGATGTTTCTCAATCCAGCCTTATATTTCAATAAAATAATCCTGCTTCCAAATCTTTCTACAAATAAAATGATAGAAAATTCAAAACATGTGCCTGCAACTCCTAGCTAGCAAAGTAGTATAGTTTTAGAATACTTTTTCTAAGGGTTGTTCATCTGCTTGCTTTTCTGATGATTATTTTTGATGGTATTCTTGTCGGCTTGGAATTGACATTTTTTACCCCACTGATATTTCTCCCACAAATCTTGCATCTCAAGACTTTATCATAAATGTTACCTGCAGCTCAAACTGGACCTTGTATTTAGCCCTCTGTCCGCTTCAGGCTTAATAGCCACAAAGATTTTCTGTCAATGCGACATGACCTTAAACATTTCCTTCTGAAATACAGCTGGATATGTTTCTTCAGGCAGAAAATTTACTTTTGCCAATGTTGTTTATCTGAACCACTAGCATGATAACTGAAAACGTTACTTGGAAATTAATCTTGCAGATAACTGTGTGTCTAGAGCCACAAACAATCTGCATCAAGGAAATCCTGAAATTATCTTAGTTTTATCTATCTTATCACTCACCAGAAAATAGCGTCACCTGATTGATGTGGTGTGAGCTGGTCAGACGATTTTTATGGGCTGGTGCCTTTGCAGTGTTTATCTGCAAGGCTGGTTTATTTTTACTTTTTTAATTTATTTTATTTGTGGCTGTGCTGGGTCTTGGTGGTTGTGCTGGCTCTTCTCTAGTTGCTGCGGGCGGGGCTGCTCTCTGGTTGCGGTGCTTGGGCTTCTTACTGTGGCTTCTCCCGTTGCAGAGCGTGGGCTCCAGGGCACACGGCCTTCAGTACTGGGTCCCCGGGCTCTAGGGCACAAGCTCAGCAGCTGTGGTGCACGGGCTTCGTTGTTCCGTGGCGTGCGGGATCTTCCCGGACCAGGAATGGAACCCGTGTCTCCCGCATTGGCCGGTGAATTCTTTAGCGCTGCGCCACCAGGGAAGCCTAGCAAGACTGGTTTAGATGAGTTTCTTTATGACAACACACCTGGGACAGTACGTTTACGAACATCCACAGGTCAGGTGGCTGCAGATGGGAAGAAGAGTGATCTTTGCCAAGAGTCATAGTGTTTAGGAGGCAGGAAAGTTTCTTTTTTTTTGTTCCGTTGCCCAAGAAGGAAATGACACAATGTATTTGCTGGGGCTCTGTTTTTCCAGGGACATAAAGGTCAGTGTGGAGAAGAGAAACACAGGGAGGACTGTGAGAAGGACAAGCAGGCTGCGGTCACTTGTGAAGATGCCTTTGTGGACATTAGTAACAGGGGCTGGGATGTTAGTGACGGGAGGAGGAGCCGACGCAACTGAATTGGGGACCTGCATTTGCATAACGGAGTCATTTTAAGGAAATGTTGTTGTTTAGTCGCTAAGTCGTGTCTGACTCTTTGGCGACCCTATGGACCACCACCAGGCTCCTCTGTCCATGGGATTTCCCAGGCAAGAATACTGGAGTGGGTTGCCATTTCCTTCTGCAAGGGATCTTCCCAATCCACGGATCAAACTTGCATTGGCCGGCAGATTCTTTACCCCTGAGCCACGAAGGAAAACCCTAAAGAAAGATTAGATCACATAAATTGTGGGCTTAATACAAGATGTCATCATCTCTCTTTCAAAAGACATAATGACATCAGAAACTTCCAAATCACAGGTTATATCACTCTGAAGATAAACCTGGTAATTAAACTCCATCACTTCTTGTAGAATGATAAAATACAGGATGATGTCAAAATTTCCTCTGAAAGGGTAAATTTCATCTTTTGATAATAGCAGAACATCTAAGTGTTCCATTATTAAAAATTCAAAGGCTGTAAATTGATGTAATATAGTAGTGATAAGAAAGCCTGCCACTTTTTTTCATGAGACAGATATGAAGTCTCTCATCTTCACGAAGACAGACATCTTTAGGTGCAGCAACTTTGAAGTCAGATCTGTACGTTTATAACATCTTACTAGCAGATAGAAGTCATTTACACATTTTAAATTATTGACCCTTCTGTTTCTAAGATAAACGCCAGCTGGCTGGTTCCACTCTCTCTACTGTCCTTCCTGGGGTCTGTAGGTCCGAACGGCCAGGGTGCTCAGGGAGTTTCTCTTGGTTTGCATCTTCTAGTCTGTTTCCTATAATGATGCTTTCTTTAATTGTAAGAGTTGTCTCTGCTCCCAAGGTCAGCATAGAGCCCCCTTTCTGGTTTTCTTGCTTATAGGATTTTTTTTTTTAAACGGTGTCTAAATGTTGAAGGAATGACAATTTTCCTTTCCAGAAAGTAAAATGTCTTTTTGGGACTTTATATCTTCTTTCCTCTTAAGTGAAAGTGATGAAAGTGGAAGTCACTCAGTTGTGTCCGACTGTTTGAGACCCCCATGAATGTTCATGGAATTCTCCAAGCAAGAATACTGAAATGGGTAACCTTTCCCTTCTCCAGAGCATCTTCCCAACCCAGGGATTGAACCCAGGTCTCCCGCATTGCAGGCAGATCTTTACCAGCTGAGCTACCAGGGAAGCCCAAGAATACTGGAGTGGGTAGCCTTTCCTTTCCCTTCTCCAGGGCATCTTCACACCCCAGGGATCGAACCTAGGTCTGCTGTATTGCGGGCAGATTCTTTGCCAGCTGAACCACCGGGGAAGCCCAAGAATACTGGAGTGGGTAGCCTATCCCTTCTCCAGTGAATCTTCCTGACCCAGGAATTGATCTGGGGTCTCCCGCATTGCAGGCAGCTTCTTTACCAACTGAGCTATCAGGGAAGGCAGCATGGTAATACGTCATTCGATGTAAATGAATAAGTGAAGACCCAGACAAGGCAGGCCAGGAAACTGTTTTTATTTACCCAAGATGCTTTGTTCTGTGGGAACCACAACTGACTTCCTATAGGGAGGAGGGTAGAGACAGGATGTGCTTTCCCTAAATTGGGTTCCCTCTGGTTTTCACTCATTCGTTCTTGGGACACACTTGCTCTGTGCAGGCCAGAGGCACCTTCTCAATCCACAGGGGGTTTTACAGTGAGACCAGAGCCTCCAACCATTGCAAGAGGCAAATGTGATGGATGGGAGGTGGGGACAGCCCTCCAGGGTGAGTGAGAGCGGAGGGTCCCCAGGCTCAAGGGAGAGTGGTAATGGGGGAGACCCTGAGGGCACAGCCAGCGGTCCCAGGAGCAGAGCAGCCCAGGCCCCTCGTCCAGCCGGCTCCAGCAGTCAGCTTCCAAGGAAGATGCTGATGTCCTGGCTTTGCTACTATATCCATCACTGACCTAAACTTATTACTGGTGACATGGAGCAGTCTCGGGGGCCAGACTTGAATCTCATGCCCATCCTTTTGACATTGGTTGGGAAAGTTAGCCCCACTTGAACCATAAAAAGTGGATTTTTCTGTAAGACAAGGGGTTTCCGTTCCTAGAAAAAGGGATATGAGAGAGACGTTAGACCAAACAATTTCACGAGTCTCCTTTTCTGCAATTTGTTTTCACAAATCTCTGTGGTTGCTACAAACCAGTGGAGGAAACTGCTCAGTGGGGACTGAGCAGTACCCACCTCTAGCTGGGGGCGTGCTGGCCTCAGGAGGTGGCCCCAACCCCATGGGACACTGTCCTACAGCCTGAGATCGGAGGTGAGACAGCAATGGAGTATGCTGTGATCTGGATCAAGTTTCAGCTGCTTATATACTTTTTCGTTTAAGTTTCCTTTATTAAACTCTTTGGTCTTTTTTTTGGTGTGTTTTTTTATTGAGCTTTTTATTTTGTGTTGGGGTGCAGCCAATTAACAATGTTGTGATCATTTCATGTGAACGGCTGGGGGATTCAGACACACACACACATGGGTCCTTTCTCCCCCAGACCCCCTCCCTTCCAGGGCTGCCTTGTAACGTTGAGTTAGAGCTTCCTGTGCTTTACGTAGGTCCTTGTCGGTTATCCATTTTAAATACAGCGGTGTGTACATGTCCATCCCAAACTCCCTAACTATCCTTCCCCTTGGCAACCATCATTTCATTCTCTTAAGTTTGTGAGTCTCTTGTTTGTAAGTAAGTTCATTTGTATCATTTCTTTTTAGATTCCACATAGAAGGGATGTCACATGATATTTCTCCTTCTCTGTAAACCCCTTGTCTTTAAACATCCATGTTTCTCAGGCAAGGCTTCTCATCCCAACGTGGAGTCTTCAGGGTAAGAAGTGTTAGTCAACTGGATGGGAACCAGCGTGATAAATAGGGTTCTGCCCCACCCTCCTCTGACCTCTGTCACTAACCTCCCCCGCTCCATTGAAACAACAGCAGTTTCAGTGTATTGATGAGATGAAAGTTGATGAACGTTTTCAATCCCGAGGTGCTTGAGGATGGAGATGCGAAAGATCTTGTCCATCGAGTTTGACCACGAATCACCCATCAGAGTGTCCTTACCCTTAATCCTCTAGATGAAAAGCTGGAGTATATGACAAAGGGTCCGGTGTGCATTCTGATCTCTGACTTCACAGAGAGATCACTCTATCCCCGGGTTGTATGTAGCCAATGACATCATGACCCGCTATGCATCCGGACTTCCGGACTGAGTTTCCTTTGGCATATTGTGGCCAACAGTGTCGGGGCTGTGCCCCGTTGATGACATGCCCCACCGATACATCAACAGCGAGGTGTGTCTGTCATCTCCTGTTCCCTTGAGTTCCGGAGAAGAGCTGCATTGAGTAAACCTCTTGGAAACGGACAGTGACTTGGTTTCGTGCAAGAGCCAGGGAGTTAACCTTTAGAAGGCTGCACTGTCGGAGCCACTGGGCAGATTCACCCCGGAGCGGACTCGATGTTACAGGTCAGAGCCCACCCGGCTTTGTTCCTTTGTGGCTGTGCTGGATCTTGGTGGTTGTGCCGGCTCTTCCCTAGTTGCTGCGGGCGGGGCTGCTCTCTGGTTGGGGTGTTTGGGCTTCTTACTGTGGCTTCTCTCATTGCAGAGCGTGGGCTCCAGGGCACACGGCCTTCAGCACTGTGGTCCCCGGGCTCTAGGGCACAAGCTCAGCAGCTGTGGTGCACGGGCTTCATTGTTCCGTGGCGTGCGGGATCTTCCCGGACCAGGAATGGCTTCCGCTGCCTGCCATCTCCAGCACAATGCCTGGCAGTGGGGTGTCCGACAGATCGCATGTCGGGGATCCGAAGTGTCCCCATTCATTTAAACTGCGTCTGTTGGTTTAAGGGCGAGGAAAGGAATTCCAACACGCCCTGTGTTCCCAGGGTTCAGTGGAATGAAAGGAAATCAAACTCAAGTGTCTTTGCTTGAGGTCTCCTGCGGCCTCATTCAGAATGAGGCAGGAGTCTGTGTGCTGATATGCGTTTCTGGAGGAGCAGCCCAGGCTGGCTGGGAGAGCGCCCAGAAGGAGCACAGACTCGGGGCAGCAGGAACCCCACGCGCTGAAACAAGAGAAGAAGAGTTGGGTCGAGGGAAGCTGAGAGCCCTGTTCTGTGCTCAGCCATGTCTGACTCTTTGCGACTCCACGGGCTGTAGCCCACCAGGCTCTTCTGTCCATAGGATTTCCCAGACAAGAATACTGGAGTGGGTTTCCATTTCCTTCTCCAGGGAGATCTTCCTGACCCAGGGATCCAGTCTGCATCTCCTGCATCCCTTGCATTGCAGGTGGATTCTTGACCACTGAGCCATCCTGATATCGACTTAAAAAATGCTCCCAACCTGAGAGTTGAGAATTATGCTTTATTCACTGGGAATTTTTAGGACTTTCAAGCCTAGGAGGCAGCATCTCAAGTAACCCTGAGAAAACTGCTCTGGGGGGATGAGTAGGGGCATCCAGGTTATACAGAAGTTTTTCAACCAAGGGCAGGTAGTGTGAGCATCAAAAGATCATTGCTGATTAAAAGAAAGCCAGATATCTCGAGTGGAGGGATTTCGTGCTTTTCTATGTATGGGAAGATGTAAGAGAATGGGCTCACTGATATGATTCCTTGGATATGCACCTCAGCTGTCTGGGGAGGATGAGATGGTTGGATGGCATCACTGACCCAATGGACATGAGTTTGAGTAAGCTCCGGGAGTTGGTGATGGATAGGGAAGCCTGGTGTGCTGCAGTCCATGGGGTCACAAAGAGTCGGACAGGACTGAGCGACTGAACTGAACTATCTGGGGCCAGTATCCTGTATTTTCACATCCTGAGTGCCCTTAGGGCTCACAAGCTCACCATCAGTGGGGGCTGCAATTACTGATGACCGTAACATCCTTTGTTTACTGATGTGGTGAGAAATTTCCATTTCTCACTGAGCTATGACTATACTTTTATTTAACATGCAAAGTATGTACAAAATCTCCCGAATTTTCCATCGAGGAGATTCTCTTTCTTCCCCCTAATTTCCCAAGGTGGGGCCAGGAGTTGCTCACCCAATCATTCGACAGTCCACACTGGCTTCCTGTGATGTGCTAGGCCCTGGGGATGACCCTCTGTGAAGGAAACAGGCGTGAAGCCCCTGCCGACACCATCCAGAACTATTTTTTGGAACATTGCAAATGTGGCAAGGGTTGCAAACGAGGTCAGCTCCAAGGAGCTCTCCTCCCCTCACGTGTTCTGCCATCCTTAACGTCCGCGGTTGAGCCATTTCCTTCGCCATGACTGGTGGCTGTCCTCCATAGGAACAGGCTTACTGAGAGCCTAGGGGCCTCACTGAAACTTCAGGACAGATGATGTCCTTGTCCTCATTGTACAGATGGAACGGCATCTCAGGAGTTCCCCATAACGTGACCGGGGTCTCCTGGCTTGCAGGGCTGACACCAGATAAGCCCTGGATCTTCCAGCCCTGCAGCACAACCACTGACTGTAGAAATCAGACATGAAGAGGCCTTCCCAAAGAAATCAGGACTTGATCAACATTTGTTTTTGTTTTTCTTAGATCTCGCGAATGCACGAATATAAAACAGTTTCCCCAAAAGATCAGTCATCAGAAAAAATGGTTTACTTACTGACCTCTTTTTTTAAATATTTATCGTATTGAAGTACAGTTGATTTGCAGTGTTATGTTAATTTCTGCTGTACAGTGAAGTGACTCAATTATACATATATTGACATTCTCTTCATCTTTTCCATCATGATTTATGACAAGATATCAAATACAGTTTCCTGTGCTATACAGTTTCTTTTTTTAAATATTTATCGTATTGAAGTACAGTTGATTTGCAGTGTTATGTTAATTTCTGCTGTACAGTGAAGTGACTCAATTATACATATATTGACATTCTCTTCATCTTTTCCATCATGATTTATGACAAGATATCAAATACAGTTTCCTGTGCTATATAGTAGGAGCTATTTTTTATCCGTTCTATAGATAATCGGCATCAGCTCACCCTAAACTCCCGATCCCTCTCTCCCTCCACCACGCCACTCCTCTCCCTCTACCACGCCACTCCTCTCCCTCTGGGCCATCACAAGTCTGTTCTCTATGCCTATGAGTCTGTTCCTCTTTCACAGATAATTTCATTTGTGGCATATTTTAGATGTCACGCATAAGTGGTATCATATGGTATTTGCCTTTCTTTTTCTGACTTCCTTTAGTATGAGCATCTCTAGGCCCACCCACGTTACTGCAAGGGGCATGACTTCATTCTTTCTTCCGGTTGAGTACTCCTGACCTCTTAATCTCTTGGTCGTATCTTGAATCTCACAGTTCAGCTGGGCATCCACGTTGGGTCTCATGAATCATTGCTGGTTTAGGAGGTTCATTGAGGTCAACTGCCAACACAGGTTTAAGAAAAGACAAGCCCACATTTATCACGTGTTTAATTACTATTCCTAAGATGTGACTTCCTGCTTCTACTTTTTTTATTCTGGTAAAGGAACTTTTAAAAGCACCAAAATGGGTAATTAGGTTGTGGACAGCCTAAATATATACCCACTGAGCAAATGGAAAAAGTGAAATCAGAAGACTCACTCTTGGGTGAGTGGTCACTTGTGCCTAAAAAGATTTCCCGTGACAGCAACCCGACAGAATAGAACGGATCAGCATCAAAATAAACGGCGAATGAAAGGGATGTGCCGTGGGAAACAAAGACTTTTTAAAGCATTTTATGGAGCCATGATTGACATGCAAAAAGCTGTGCCTGTTTACTGTGTACACCTTGATGGGTTCGGAGATAAGCGTACACTTTTGAAATCACGCCCACAATCCGTGCCATAAACATGTCCATCACCTCTGAACTATTCCTCCCACCCTCTTAATTTACTTTTATGTGTATGTGATGAGAACACTGCACAGAGAAGATTTACCCTCTTAGAAAATGTTTAAATATGCAATACATTATTAGTAACTGTAGGCACTATGCTGAACAGTCAGTCTCTAGAATGAGTTCATTTTGTGTAACTGAAGCTTTGTGCCCTTGGACCAACAGTACCTTCCTCTTGCCTGCTCCCTGCAGCCCCTGACAACGACCTTCTTACCCTCTGTGTCTATGGGTTCAACTCTTCTAGATTCTGTGATCATATGCGGTATCTGTCTTCCTGTGTCTGACTTCTTTCCCTCGGCATACTGTCCTCCAGGTTCGTCCATATTGTCACAAATGGCAGTTTCCTTCTATTTAAAGACCGAGTGGTGTTCACTTATACATATCTGAGGTTTCCTCAGTGGCTCTCCTGACTGCAACGCAGGAGACCCAGATTCGATCCCTGGGTCAGGAAGATCCCCTGGAGCAGGGCATGGCAACCCACTCCAGTGTTCTTGCCTGGAGGACCCCCATGGACAGAGGAGCCTGGCGGGCCACAGTCCACGGGGTTGCAAAGAGTCAGACACAGCTGAAGTGACTGAGCAGGCACGCAGACATGCTTACCACATTTTCTTTATCCGTTCATCCGTCAGTGGACACTTGAGTTGTGTCTATGTCTTGGCCTCTGTGAATAGTGCTGAGTTCAGGTATCTCTCCGCGATCCTGATCGCAGTTCCTTTGGATATTTACCTAGAGGCTGGGCTGATGGTCATGGGATAGTTCTGTTTTTAATTTTTTGAGGAAACTCCATACTGTCTTTTGCAATGACAGTTTATATTCTCACCAACAATATGAGGGTTCCCGTTTCTCCACATCCTCACTAACACTTGTTATCTTTTTTTTTTAATGATAGCCACCATATTTGGCCTGAGGTGATAGCTTATTGTTTTGATTTGTATTTGCCTAATGTGCGGTGATGTTGAGATATACCTGTTGTCCATTTGAACGTCCAGTTTGAAGAAATGTTGTAACAGTTATTGCCCATTTTTCAGTCTGGTTATCACAGAGACTGTGTCCCTAGTGGCTCAGATGGTGAAGAATCTGCCCACAATACAGGAGACCCGGGTTCAATCCCTGGGTCAGGAAGATCCCCTGGAGAAGGGAACGGTTACCCACTCCATCCAGTATTCTTGCCTGGAAAATTCCATGGAGAGAGGAGCCTGGCGGTCTACAGTCTATGGGGTCGCAAAGAGTCAGACATGACTGACTCATTTGTGTCCAGTTTAGGTAAATGCCTTTTGGAAGGACTTTGGGAGACCTCTCTTAAATGTGTGTTGTTCTTGGTTTTATTTTAGAAAACAGAGAATGGGAAAAGGAGAGGTCCAGGATGGGGTGGCTTAGTGCAGAGATCAATTGCTGAACCCGTGACTGATCTCAACTGCTATCAGGGCTTTCTTTCATTTGTCTGCCTGTTTGTTTGTTGTTTGTTCTGATGGGATGCTGAATGTGTCTGATGAGGAATCAGGTTGAAGACAGATGGGCTTTTTAGTAATAAGAAAACGATCTGATCCCTGGGAGAAGGGGCGCATTGCCCATCACGACATGGTCATCTTGGAAGGCGATGGAGCCTCCCCAGAGCAGGGTATAGAGAAGGGCAGGAGGCATAGCTGGGCTCTGGGAAGTTGGCATCCTGGCAGACGTGAGAGGATGTGTCCCAGACAGGACACCCGTGTGGGAGGGAAGGCGGGCCCAGGACCCAGCACAGAGCACAGCTTATTCTGAAGAACAGGGAACATTTGCCTGAATTTCTCACGTAGCCCTCAACAGATACCACTATGCATAGCACTCAAGAGCCCTGCAAAGCTTTAGCAACGCAAACCCCAGGTACATGTTCTCGCTTTCCTTGGCCGGAAGGTGTGCTAAAAATGACCATTTCCTGAGCTCTCTGGCTCCCTCCTCTCGCTCTGCTGGGCTCTGTCCTGCTGTGTTAAAGGACTGTGAGGTTTACATCTCATGCCCTCTGAGGGCAGTCTCTGCCTGACAGACGCAGGCATTCATCAAAGCCGGTGCTTGCTCCAATAGGGAGCTTTGTGGGGCTGCAAACGAGGCAGGCAATCTCTGCCTTGCATGTTCTCTCTCTGTCTGCCCCTCTCATTGCTTCTTCTCATTAGTCATCATTCCTTGGAGCCTGCTTTAGCTTGCATTTTTTCGCCAGAATTGTGTGGGAGTTGTTCAAGAGAGCAAGCCTCCCTGCTTGACCGCAGTCAGCGCCTTGGTGTGGGGTCGGGTCTGGTCCCAGAGCTGGACCTCACCTCCTGAGAGGTTGCACATGTCGTGGGCCCACAGAGCAGCCCTCCAGAAGAGGGAGTGATGGAATGCAAGCTGTGCTGTGAGCTGAGTGGGCTCAGGCATCAGCCAAGATGCCAGGTGAGGTTTCTCTGGACGCTGGAACACATCTCCCTTTAGAAAGCCAGGTGGTGGTTTTGTCTACTAAGTCATGTGCGAGTCTTGTGACCCCACGGACTGTAACCTGCCCGGCTCCTCTGGCCATGGGATGTCCTAGGCAAGGATACTGGAGTGGGTTGCCATTTCCTCCTTCAGGGGATCTTCCTGACCCAGGGATGGAACCCGAGTCTCCTGCTCTGCAGGAGGATTCTTTACCGACGCAGCCACCAGGGCTATTCAGAGAAGACTACCCCAGACGCTTGCCAGAGGTGAGAGCGCTGCTTTGCTTCTGTTTCAGGTGCCAAACCCGCCCCCGGGATCTGCTTTGAGAGAGTCAACTCCGCAGGTGACCCTTATGGCAACTGCGGCAAAGATTCCAAGAGCTCCTTTGCCAAGTGCGCGATGAGGTACGGAGGGTCGGTGTCCTGACCACGCCCTGCCTTCAAACCTCCCAGGTTCCTCAGGGCTGCTTCCGCACTTTCCCTCTCTGAGGACTGTCTGTTCTTGCCTTTCCAGAGACGCGAAGTGTGGAAAAATCCAGTGTCAAGGAGGTGCCAGCCGACCCGTCATTGGTACCAATGCCGTTTCCATAGAAACGAATATCCCCCTGCAGGAAGGAGGCCGAATTCTGTGCCGTGGGACCCACGTGTACTTGGGTGATGACTTGCCGGACCCGGGGCTCGTGCTTGCCGGCACCAAGTGTGCAGACGGAAAAGTAAGCCCCACGTGCTCCCGTGGGTCACAAACGTGAGTCTGGAAGGACCCACTGAGAAACGTCCTGTTCGAGACCGGAGTTACAGGGATGGTTGGCTTTTCAAAATCCACTTCTCAGAATGCTGCCTCTGAAATCCAGTTCTTTGCACCTAGAAGGAAAAAAACAAACAAACAAATCCTAGCTCCTTGTCCGACCATTGAGATGCAGATCTGGGGAAATCGAGCTTGTTTTCTCAGCCCTTCAGTGTTAAGAAGTCTTTTCTGCACTCTGGGTGTTACGCGAGTTTCCAGCCAGGAAACGACTCTGGAAGGAAACACAGCAGCGTATTATATTGTTCTTGGAAATGTGGTCTGGGTTTTTGGCACAGTGGGGACTTGTTCTCACCTGGACAGAAGGGGAAGTCAGATGTAGTTTCAGAGACCCCCACAGAGGGACAGGAGAGGGGAGGAGATGGGATAAGCTTAAAGCCAAAGGGGGTTCTTTGGAGACAAGGGGGAAAGGTAGACTGAGATATTTGGGGAGGGAAGTTAGGGATCAAGTCCACAATAATTAAAAAAAAAAACAATTGAGATTTTCACATCCTGCCACATTGATTTTTTCCCCACTAAACTTTCTCATCAGAATGAATGATCGCAAGTTAATAATTAGCATTTTTAGGAAGGAAGATGCTTTGATTAGGGCCCCATTTTCAAAATGAATATGAAACCATTACTAACCAGAGGTCACAGAGCAGAAAGGAAAGGTGCTGAGCCAGCTCCTGCAGCTGGGTCCCCAGGGCAGGAGTTCCTCCTCCCCACCCTGCCCTCTCCCCTCATATGCCTTTATAAATGCATTATCCTTAAGTAAACAGGATGATATCGAAACACATTGCACATTCTGGGTACCTCCTTAATCGCACACATTCATTTACAGTCAAGTCTTGACATTAGAATGACACCATTTAAACGGTGATTTGAACAACCAAGGCCAGGTGCATCTGAACACTGAAATTCCAAGGACTCAATTTATCAGTGAGCTTTTCACTTCATGTACAAAATTAAATGTGCTTTGATCTCCTTCCTGCAGAACCCTGGTTCTTTGAAAGCCATCTTTTAGCCTGGCCCATGGGTTGGGGGAGGGCAGCACCCATCTGCTGTGATTCTGCCTGGGATCCTGCTGTGGTCATTGCAACCCCAGACAGTTTCTTTTATCAACAGGAATGTGCCAGTCCCCCTGCCTGAGACCCAACCAGCCCTGAGAGCCGCTCAGACCAGCACTTCTCTCGCAGGGCATTCATCTTGCCTTAGATAAGCTGCTGGGGTCAGATGGTGAATGTCTCATAGGAAGGTCCTACTTGATTAAAAATGCTTCTGTAATCTAAAAATTCGATTTTTCTTCCTTTGACTCCACCAATTTGTAACATTTTATGGGAGATTAAGAGCCTGATCCCATGAGTCTGGACCATATTATGCACCTTTGAAATGAAACTAAATTCTTTCAACCAGCCCAGTATCATTTAGCAAATTACTGCCTCTGCAGAGGCTTGATAAATACAAGGGAAGCGTCTGTTCTCTGCTGAGCACTTCTGTTGATGGTTTATGTCATCAACAATAATGCTTGTCAGTCAGTATTTTGGGGAAGTTCTCATATTCTACATTTTCCCTTGCAAGATTATCAGACCCTGGGTTCCTGGAGTCTTTGAGTCTCTACTGGTCCAGGTGAAGGGCTAGGCTGTTTTGTTCTCTTCTGTATCTTTTAATAGGAGAGAAAAAATGGGGACAAAAATGCTGCAATATGTAGATTTTGTTGCAAGCTCCAAACAAAAGTCATGAGGAAATCAGTTTCCATAATTGCAGAGTTGACCGAAACCATATAAGATGTCATGAAGATAGAAGACTGCCACAGTGTCCACACTGATGTGAGTCTTGGAATGGGCTGCATTTGGACGCAGCCATCAGAGTCTATGTCCAAGGCAGAGAGCATCATCATGCCATGTGCATGTTAACTGGAAGATGGTCTTCCTGCAGTTTTCCTTTGCTTTCTCTTTTTGTTTTTTAATTTTTATTGGAGTATAGTTGATTTACAATGTTGTGTTAGTTTCAGATGTATAGCAAAGTGAATCAGTTATACATATACATTATATCCACTCTTTTTTAGGTTCTTTTTCCGTATAGGCCATGACAGAGTATATATATATATAGTAGGTCCTTACTATTATCTCTTTTATATATGGTAGTGTGTAATGTCAATCCCAATCTCCCAACTATTGCTCCCCCCACCCTTACCCACTGGTAACCATAGTTTGTTTTCTATATTTGTGACTCTTATTTCTGTTTGGCAGGTAAATTCATTTGTACCCTTTTTTTTTCAGTTTCCACATATAAGTGATATTGCAGCTATCTGTCTTTCTCTGTCTGACTTCACTCCGTATGACAATTTCTAGCTGTATCCTTGCTGCTGCAAGTGGCATTATTTCATTCTTTTTCATGGCTGAGTAGTATTCCACTGTGTATATGTACCACACCTTCTTTATCCATTCCCCTTTATTCTTTAATACACAGATGCATGTGTGTGTGTTTGTAGATGGACATAGATATTTGCTGTGCTTCCCTCCTTCCCCAGATCTGCCTGAACCGTCGGTGTCAGAATGTCAGTGTCTTCGGGGTGCATGAGTGTGCAGTGCAGTGTCATGGCAGAGGGGTAAGTAGGGGAACTGCCTTCATGTAGCCATCCCATAATTAAGTTCAGCACTAAATCATTCCTTTGTAAAGTATTTTCACCATCCATCACTTTGTAAAAATATATCAGCATCTCCTCAATATTTTCTTCTGAAGACATTCATTTTCTTTGACCTTTACACGGTGTAAGAAATGGGATTTTTATTTAACAAAGAAAATCAGATTGAGTGCTAATTATCTCTTAACATTCTGGATTTTTTTGAAAGGACTTTGTCATCTTCAAAGTAATTTTAACACTAACCTTCCTTCATGAAGAGTTTTTCATTAGCCTTTCAAATGGAGCTGTCTCTCTTAACCAAGATTCAGAATATGTGTCTGAACTGAAATATTTCCAAAAGCAATTAAAATAAACAAGACAGCACATACTGACCACATGTTCTTGAAATCACATGCAATGGGTTTCAACTAAAGAAGGCTGTTGTTTTAGTTCAGAGGATTTGGGGGAGGGGAGGATTCTAATTGTTCAAAACCTAATTTATTTTTCCTGATGGGCTTAATTATTTCCAATGGAATCATATTAATCTTGATTAGCTATGCCAATGGTTCATTTGTTTTTCTGAAGCCTTTTCTGCAGAAATGGTGCTCCAATTTCTATTTTTAAAACTTGCAGACACTTGCTGATGATTCTAACATAGAATTATGGAGGTTTGCATAAGATTACTTTTGTGCTGTAACCGTGAAGGATTGCAGTGTCACCTCAGATGGGTTTGTTGGTGGTGAACGTAGCTGACTGTCAGTATAAAACGCAGTCTTTTCATGTCTTCATTGGATCATAGACTTCTTCCTAATGGCTGGAAGGAATGATCTAGTGCAACCTCATTATCTGACTGATGATGGAGTCCAGACCCACATGGGAGTAGTGACACGTCCAAGCTTAGGTGGCCAGTTAGTAGCAATGCTAGATCAGGGACCCTGGACTCCTGACCCTCCAACATCCCTGGCGTCCCATCCACCCGCTGGAGAGGAAAGGCCCACATCCCCTGGGGGTTGAGCAGCTGCTGTGACTTGGGAAGAAGTAACAGCTAGACCCCAACCCTTTCCTTAGTGAGGCCAGGCTCACCAGCAGCCCCTCTGGGGGAAGGGGGCTATAATCTCTCTGCCACAAGCCGTCAAGAGGCCCCTGACTGTGTGGTTCACAGCAGGAGATGGTGCCTGAATCCCAGGGGTGGCGCCCCAGCCGCAGGATCTCTGGGGAGACGGCAGGACACTCAGACTCCAGGCAGCCTGGGCGGTGCTAATGACAGTTAACTCTGCTTCATGTGAGCTTCACAGAAACGTACTTTCTCACTTATCGCAGGCTTTCTTGACTGTAGGCCTTCTTGTTGGAAGCATCTGGGTTTGTTGATGTTGACTGTGGTTGATTCATCACAACCTGGGAAACATCACAAACGAGATGTACACCCCAAATATTTCTTGCATCTTAAAAAGATAAAAGTGTGTGTTTGGCCTCATCCAGCGGTATTTTGACGTGGGGCTGAAGCCTACAGGATGGGAGCTCAGCCCTGTCTTACACAGAACCACCCAAAGCACGCCATCCACGATGTGTCGTTTGCTTCTCTAAGTACAAGGGAAACTGAGACACTCACGAGCAACCTGAATGAGGAATCCTTTCTTTTGCAGCTTTTCCCGATCATTTTTCAGTTGTCCTTCCCATTCCAAATTTGTCCAAAGTTGTTTCTAGGGCTTTACCCATCATCCCGCATTCCCAAAGCATTCAGTCTCATTGTCTTTCTAGAAAGGATTCCCTCTTTGATTATGAGTTCATAATCATTTTCCATTGGTTCCTATAGTAGTCTAGTCAGTTCCATGTACAGCAATACATACCAGTAACAGGTAGAATGTCATCACAGGTGGCAACAGCCACCATCAGTCACCCTGGGCCACAGGATGAGCAAGTGTTGACCTCTCTGTGGATCCTCGGGGCCCACCAAGAGCAAAGCCACCCCTCCCACCTTCTTGGGCAGCCCTTTCCCATGGGATCAGAGCCATCATCCTCTTATTTCACCAGGGCACCGTTCACTGCTGGCTGTGTCCACCTCTCAGGGGTAGGAGCTGGACCAGACCTCCACTGCTGAGGGAATCAGAGCAGACTTTGGGGAGGCGGTACCTTGTGGACATCAGGGAGCAGGAGGCCTGGCCGTCAGACTGCTGGGGGACCCCGAGTCACCAGCCTCCCCAAGTACCCTGTCTGAAGGTGCCCAGGGTTGTCAGACCCTTGATGCCCAAAGGGCATGGATTCCGTGTCCCAGCAGCAGGGTCCCTTCCTCACTACTGAGAGGTCTTCCCATCTCAGCCAGATTGGGAGGGTTTCCTGGATCTAAAAGGAGGGACCTGGAAACTGAGAAGAAAAAGAGGTGGGAGGGAGCGGGTGAGCCCTGATGGTCTCCACCTTTGTCTCAACAGCTGCTGATGTAACAGCAGCACATTCTGTTACATTTGCGGCCTCAGGCTCCTGACTCGCTGACGTGGTGCTGGGTGCAGGGTGGATCTTCGCAGCGGTGTGTCCAGAGTCTGGCTGCACCCGTGTGGTGGGGGCGCTGACCACAGGGCCTTTGCTTCACTGTGGGGCTCGGTCAGGGCTCAGAGACTTGGCGCCGCCCCCGATCGGAGGCACGTCCTAACCCTGCCTCCCTCTCTGTCCCCCGCTGCCCAAAGGTGTGTAACAACAGGAAAAACTGCCACTGCGAGCCCCACTGGGCGCCTCCCTTCTGTGACAGGTTTGGCTTCGGAGGGAGCACAGACAGCGGCCCCGTCCGGCAAGCAGGTTAGTGGCGACAGCGCATCCCGGGGAGTGGGCCGAGCTCCCGAGGGGCAGCGGGAAGCCAGGCCCTCGGGGGGCCATTGCAGGCAGCACAGAGGACCCGCCAGCCCTCGGGTGGGTGCACAGCCGGAAACCCATTGGGGACCTGGGGACCCCATAGGCTGAGGCCCCTGTTTCCAGACCCTCTCTCGTCCTTCCCTGATCTTTGCAGAGACTCCTTGCCCTGCTTGGCTCAGAGGCTGAGGTTGCGGGGCTTCCCAGCTGGCGCCAGTAATCAAGAATCCTCCTGCCAATGCAGGAGATGCAGGTTTGATCCCTGGGTCAGGAAGATCCCCTGGAGAAGGAAATGGCCACCCACTCCAGTGTTCTCACCTGGAGAGTCCCATGGACAGAGGAGCCTGGCGGGCTACAGTCCATGGGATCACAAAGAGTCAGCCATGTCTGAGCGACTGAGCACATACCACCTGTGACATTTTCTCAGTTAAGGTCATCCTACCACAGACTGCCAAGAGGGTGTGCGCCTCATGGTCAGAGGATCAAATGCTTGGTCAAGGCCAGACTTCTTTACTGAGGCCGAGAGCTGTGAAGTCAAGTGCCTTTTAAAGCTCTTACTAGAAAGATGCCATCCTCTTCATAAAGGAACTGGTCCCAGCCCAGCAGTCACCTTTGCTGAGCTGTTGTTCCCTGCGGGCACCAGGCTTCACGTTTTGCAGGTGTTAATTGAATCCTTACAAAAGTCGGCATTCTTCTTCTTTCTTGGCATACAAAGGTCCTGAGGCTCAGAGAAGTTAAGTAACTTTCACAGAGTCACACAGCGAAGACTGAGACAGAGGTCTACCCATGTAGAGGCCCCGAAGGGCGGCTGCGCTGGGATCATCAGTTCTTGTCTCCCCAGAGATGATTAAGTGGTCTCCTAGTGCAGGACCGTCTTCTCTGAGAGATTGGCAGCCGGTGAAGGGGCACGTCAGGGTGACGCCCCCTTTGAAGTAGAAGCAGCAAGTCCAGTGGTGCAGAGAGCCCACCGTGAGCCCTGCTGGGAAGTCAGGGGCGGGGTGGGCAGGAATTGCCCAAACACACTTGTGTTGTCACCTTGGCACCCACCTGCGCCCCCAGGGCAGCCGCCAGTGGCTGACGTAGGAAGTCATGCATCCTGCAGTGATGGGCGGGGTTGAATCTGTGGCTTGGCCAGCGTTTCCATGACAACAGACATAACACTGCTCTGCAGGGCCAGGTAGGAGAGACCCTCCAAGCAGGCACATCTGGAGAAGCAGTGTTGTGTCGTGAGGAAGGGAAGGGAACTTCTGGTCATCCCTGTACTAAAAGGTGGACGAGTCTCCGCGCTGCTTCCAAGGGCACCCAGGGGCCCGCGCTCTGAGCCTGGCCCCGCAGCAGGTGGCCAGAGGGCCTCCAGGTCTCATCTCAGCGCGTGTCCATCCCAGGAGATAATGAGCTGGGTCTGGCCCAGCCTCCCTGTTCCTCACTGCCGCCTATGCCTTGATGGCTGGCCTCTCAGCTGCAACTTAATTTTCTAATTGGCCATTAAGAGTTTATTGTTCAAAAACAGTGGGGTTTTCGTTTTTAATGCATCAGAAACCCTGCCACCCGTTCCATCCACATTCAAGTGAGCCAGATATTCAAGGAATTGCAGAAGATGGTGGGAGACAGGCCACATGATCTGAGTGTCTTTTTGGTGTGGACACTGGGGAGTCTCAGGGTTGGGAGTTGCCAAAACATGGGGAACCCACTGAGTCACTAGCTCTTCATTGTACCAGGTAAGAATATTTTTTAAATGAAAACAACTGAAGAGCCAAACCCATCCACTGTTGCCATCCTTTCATAAAAGAAAATAGGTTTAATCTCTTGCCCCCAAAACACCTGAAAAAGAGGGGCCTTGAGAAGCCGGCCAAGGGTTATACAGGGAAGGCCACACCATGGGTCTTACTCTTCAATGCAGCCACCCATGGGACCGGGGCTCAGAAGTTCCTGAAGCCAGTATCTCTCCAGCATCTGCCAGGCGCCAGCTGCTTCTGTCAGTGTTTAATAACTAATCAGTTGAAGACTTAGGGATTTGATTTGAAAAAACTAGAAACTATACTCCAATCCTTTGCCACCTGATGCAAAGAGCTGACTCATTGGAAAAGACCCTGATGCTGGGAAAGATTGAAGGAAGGAGGAGAAGGGGATGACAGAGGATGAGATGGCTGGATGGCATCGCCGACTCAATGCACATGAGTTTGAGTCACCTCCGGGAGATGGTGAAGGACAGGGAAGCCTTTTTAATAAGCTGTGTTAAAGCACAATAGGACCCTAACCAGAGGCCCCTTGACTGCCAGCTCAGTCTCAAAAGAGGTGCGTGTTGGCCAGGAAACCAGAGCAAGGCTTTTCCAGTAACACTGAACAAGAGAATCGAGACAGTCTTATGTTGATTGTCTCCCTAAAGGCACATCCTTGGTAGGACTTGTCAGTTGACAAAGTCCAGAAGCAGGGTGTGAAGTCTTTCTCCCCCTCAAGGCTTTTCCAGTAACACTGAACAAGAGAATCGAGACAGTCTTATGTTGATTGTCTCCCTAAAGGCACATCCTTGGTAGGACTTGTCAGTTGAGGACAAAGTCCAGAAGCAGGGTGTGAAGTCTTTCTCCCCCGGGGTGGGAGCAGCTTCTCTGGTCGGAGGTGGGAGAGCCTGGGTGACAGAAGCCACCGCCGTGGCCATCAGCAGCAGCCCAGAAAGACGGCAGGGCACCTAGCGAGTGACAGCGACTCTGGCCGCTGGTGGGAGAACAGGCCGGTGGATTGAGACCTGCTCTCTCAAGGAGCCCACAGCCCTGGTGAACCCCCCTGACTGCCGGCGCCCAGAGCCCTCCAGACAGCCCTTGGCCACAGCTGCAGTCAAACCAACTCGACGGCTTGATTTTCCCTTCCTTTCTGCATCCTTGAGGAATCATAGAGTCTCTGTACTAAACAAAATGGGATCAAGTCACAGAAAAGGGGATCTTTCCTTCAAGAAAGGAAACAGTACCCTCCCAGAGACAGCAGTTTGCCCCCCACAGGCTGTGTTTTAAGTCCCTAACACAACAGAACAAAATCCAAGGGCGTTTCATTTAAACAGAGTTTTCTTTTTCACCATCCAATTTGATGATAACCAGAAGTAAGATCTTGGTCTAAAAAACTTCAAAAAAAAAAGTAAAACAGATTCCAACCCCCAAGAATGAGAGAAGGAAAGAGACTGAAGGAGTGTCACTGGGGCTGGGAAGACTTCAATTTGGGGACCACTTGGTTCTAATGGTTGAAAAAAAAAAATCTGCCTGCAATGCAGGAGACCCAGATTTGATCCCTAGGTTGGTAACATCCCCTGGAGAAGGAAATGGCTACCCACTCCAGTATTCTTGCCTGGAGAATTCCATGGACAGAGGAGCCTGGTGGGCTACAGTCCATGGGATTGCAGAGTCAGACACAACTGAGCGACTAACACTTTGACTTCACTTCACTTTGGTTCTGATGGGATTCTAGTGACAGCTCGCTGTTACTTTCTCTGACCACCGTTCCCCTGCTGTTGGCATGCTCGGGGGCCCATGTGGCCAGAGCTGTGGTCCCACCTGCCAGATTATATTCCCCTTTAGCAAGTTCCAGACTTGCCAGAAATGAATGATGGCAAGGCAGATTGCACCTCAAACACGACCTTTGAAGTAAGGCTAATTTATCCATACACCATTCAAGGATTTACTCACTGCATTTCTGTTCTTTCCTTCCAAGTTCGTTTTGCCATAAATGTCACAATTTCGTACTCCCCATATTTCACTATAACTGCCTCCTTCTCTGAGTCGAATGTGCTTTGTTTCAGATAACCAGGGTTTAACGATAGGAATTCTGGTCACCGTCCTCTGTCTTCTTGCTGCTGGATGTGTGGTTTACCTCAAAAGGAAGACGTTGATACGACTGCTGTTTACAGATAAAAAAAACACCATTGAAAAGCTAAGGTACCCTGGGTCGGGGTCATCTTTTCAAGAAATGGCATTTGAAAGAACTGCTTATCACTGTGTTTCCTTAGCAAAGAAGGGGTCAGATTTTCTGTTGGTTTGGTTGTTTTAACATTTCTTCCAGACCAGCTGCCCTCTTCACTTTCCCCTCTTTGTTTATTACATAAATAAGCAGGGTGTTGATGACTTCCACTGGTGTGTTTTTCCCCACCCTAACCTTAGTAATTTTTATAAGACAGGGGATATTAAAACATTTTATCAGCTGGAGTAGCTTTTGATCCAAATATACTCCAAGATGTTGCTAAAATGCCAGCTTTATGCAAAACGTTTCCCAGGTGTCACAGAGCTGTGCTTCTATGCATTGCAAGAACTAGTTTAACAGAATAATGGCTCTGGGGGAAAGAACTCAGTATTTATATTTTAGTCCTGTAAGAGATTAAATCTTTTCTCTTGCACGGTTACCACACTGAGTTAAAAGAAGTGAGTGTGTTTTGCGCGTTACTATGAACGGAACAAAAGTGGAGTCAGGCAAAGGTTGCGGCGCCCCCCAGTGGCGTGTCTGGGGTTGCCTTGCAGGTGCGTGCGCCCTTCCCGGCCGCCCAGGGGCCCCCAGCCCGGCCAGACCCACCTCACCCATCTCAGCAAAGGCCCGATGAGAAAGCCGCCACCGTCCAGCACACCTAAGGTGAGTTTCCAACAGACGCGAGAGGTGAGTGCGTGCGTGCGTGAGGACGTGGGTTTTTCAACAAGAAATTGAGCCGGACTCGACCCCGAGACTCTTCCTGAAAAGCACTGGGTCAGCCCGCTCGAGGCGACGGTTGGGGCTGGGAGAGGCTCGGGCTGCCGGATTCCACTGCGCCCGCGTCCCGGCAGGGTCGTGGTCTTGGTCATCACCCCCCCTTCACCTAGGCGGCCGGCCTCCATGGGGGACCGCAGGCCGGGCCCTGACACTGGACCCCTGCTGTGATGCGAGGGCGCCATGGGCTTGGGGGCTTCTGTGGCTCCCTGCTACTCCCGGGGTACTTCTAAGGGTCACAGTGAGGGTATTTCTAAGAGTTAGGACTTTTCTGAGTTACTCCCAGAGTATTTCAAAAGTTACTCCCAGACTCTTTCTAAGCGTAACTCTGAGCCCTTGGTTGGGCCCATTTTGCTCTAACCATGGACTATGGAAGCTCTGTCCAACCCACAGCTTCAAAGAGCTGGATCCTTAAAGGGCCTCCCACTGCCTGCTGTCTCTTAACTTTCCTGCTCAGACGCGAGAGGTGAGTGCGTGCGTGCGTGAGGACGTGGGTTTTTCAACAAGAAATTGAGCAGGACTCGACCCCGAGACTCTTCCTGAAAAGCACTGGGTCAGCCCGCTCGGGAGGACAGAGGCTCCGCGAGGCGACGGTTGGGGCTGGGAGAGGCTCGGGCTGCCGGATTCCACTGCGCCCGCGTCCCGGGAGCGTCGTGGCCTTGGTCATCACCCCCCCTTCACCTAGGCGGCCGGCCTCCATCGGGGACCGCAGGCCGGGCCCTGACGCTGGACCCCTGCTGTGATGCGAGGGCGCCATGGGCTTGGGGGCTTCTGTGGCTCCCTGCTACTCCCGGGGTACTTCTAAGGGTCACATTGAGGGTACTTCTAAGAGTTAGGACTTTTCTGAGTTACTCCCAGAGTATTTCAAAAGTTACTCCCAGACTCTTTCTAGACGTTACTCTGAGCCCTTGGTTGGGCCCATTTTGCTCCAACCATGGACTATGGAAGCTCTGTCCAACCCACAGCTTCAAAGAGCTGGATCCTTAAAGGGCCTCCCACTGCCTGCTGTCTCTTAACTTTCCTGCTTCCCTGGTGAATGTTGAGTAGCATTCACTCTGATATTTAGTTTCCCTCACCAAGTGTTTCTGATATATCTACAAGAATTCCTGAATATTGAACTCATTCAACAAGAGTCCAGAATGTAGCAGGAAACAATGTTAGTGTCAATAAAAGACAAATGATTTTTAAAATCATTATCAGGTATTCAGTAAGCAAAAAAATAAAAAGAAAGAAAAATCTATTTTATCTCCCTCAATCCAAAAAGTGTAGAGTTGGGTTCTAAAGAGAAGTCATCCCTAATAAGCATTGCCACTTTCTACCCCCAACCATGCGACGTGAGGGAAAAATAGCTTTAGTTGTAAGAGGCAAAGATGCAGCTTTATTTTGAAGGACCAAAAACCAGAAATGACCCAAATACCAATCAACAGGCAGGAGGGTAAACACATTTTATTATATTTACACAGTGGGATGCTATTCAGAATAAGACAAAATGAACTATTGATACACACGACATCTTGGATACATCTCAAAATAATCATGCCGAGTGAAAGAAGCCAGACCAAAAACAATGATTCTATTTATATAAAATTCTAGAAAATGAAAACCAATTTATAATGACTGAAATTGTGTCAATAATTACTGGGAAAAGGGGAGGGAAGGACTTCACAAGTCAAAGAACTAGTGAAAATTAGACACAGCTCATGATGGCAATGGGTAGGTTCATTGTTTCGCCTATTGTGATGGTTTCATGGGTGTGAAATTTGCCAAATGTACATTTTAAATATTGACTGCAACTAACATTCAATTAAACCTCAGTAAAGCTGTTTTTAGAGAGAAAGGAATAAAAGCCTGAGGCAGGGAGGGGCAGGTGTGTGAGGCTCACGCTGTATCCATTCTCATCTGTCACTAAAAAGGAGGCCACCGCGTGGGCAGTGTTCCTCCAGGCCCCGCTTCCAGCTCCACCCCTGGCTTCCAGGATCCCTGATGCTCCTCCTTCCTTGGTGCTCATTGAGCCTTGTGAACATTGAACTGCACCTCATTTTCACAAAGTCCTTTGAATTTCCTGAATTGCTGGTCTGTGTCTTTATACGTGCTGGCACTTCATGAGGTGCCTTGCACTTACCTGCTAATTAATTAATCCAGTTTTTAAAAATTCAAGTAGAAATCAATCCCAGACCTGAATGGGAAGGAAACAAAATTTTTTTTAAAAGAGGGGATATAGGTGTGCCTATAGCTGGTTCACCTTGCTGTGCAGTGAAGGCTAGCACAACATTGAAAAGCAACTATCTCAATAAAGAAATTAAAGCTTAAGGAAAAAGTCAGTCCCCAGGGGTTCAGATTTGGGGGTGGAGAAGGGTGCTTCTGTTAGAATTGTTTACGTAAATAATAATGCATTCCCTTTCCTGTAACTCCTTGATTTCTCGCCCTTGCTCCAGCCCCTTCCCCCCGCAGCTTTAGGAGAGGAGTTATACTGCGTGTCCCTCCGGGGGTTACCCAGTAATGATCCCATCGTGGCTCTTTGCTCTGACCCCGCAGGACCACACCCGGAGACTGCCACCGTGTCTGCCCGTGGACGTCAGCAGACCCCTCAAAGCCCTCGACGCCCCTCGGCCGAGTTCCCCGCAGCGAGGGCTCCCACCCCTGCACCAGGCTCCTCGTGTGCCCTGCGTCCCTGCCAGACCCCTGCCGGCCAACCCTGCACTCAGACAGGCCCAGGTACGTCGTCAGCGCTTAACCTGATGAAGGTGCTTGGAATCCAGACTCTGCTACTTGCTAGCGTCTGAACTTGGACAGGTTGCTTAAGTTCTCGGCGCCTGTATAAAACAGAGTTAACTCAGCTCCTGACATGGGTAAATGAGATCATCCATGGGAAGCATACTAAATGTACTAAACAGTGTCTGGGGCATAGTTGTGGTGCAATATAGTTTAGTTATCCTGAGGGATTTTTTAATTTATTTTCGGTTGCTCTAGGCCTTCGTTGCCACGCATGGGCTTTCTCTAGCTGCAGCGTGCGGGCTGCTCACTGTGATGGCTGTGATGGCTTCTCTCATTGCAGAGCATGGGGCCTAGGGCGTGGGCTCAGTGGGTGTGATGCGCAGGCTTAGTTGCTCTGAGGCACGTGGAATCTTCTTGGACCAGGGATCACACCTTCGTCCCCTGCGTTGGCAGGCAGATTCTTAACCACTGGACTGCCAAGGAAGTCCTCTTAGGAATATTTTTATCTCTTCTATTCAGAATAGTGAGGGTGCCCATTCAACTTGTCATCTATACCAACAGTCTCCAGCCTTTTTGGCACCAGGGTCTGGTTTCATGGAATGCAGTTTTTCCATGGATGAGGGGTAGAGAGGATGGTTTCTGAATGATTCGAGTGCATTACATTTGCTGTGCACTTGATTTCTATTATTGTCATATCACCTTCACCTCAGGTCATCAGGCATTAGATCCCAGAGGTTGGGGACCCCTGATCTATATACTATGACATTTTGGAGAATGACAGGTGGCACTGTGAATAATTCAGCTTGACCAATAAAACAGATATTTATAATAAATACAATAAGATTCCTGATACTTTGGCCACCTGATGCAAAGATCTGACTCATTGGGAGATAGGAATGGTAATGGGCCTACTTTCTTACCATTTTTCACCTTCAAAAATTATTTACAAAAATCTTTACCACTGATTTAGTTTCTGCACACGAGTTGTAAGAGTATATAACATACTTTATGTGTATGATCTCATTTTTATACTGTTGGAAGTAACAGCTTCTGTTTGTATGACAGGAAACTTGAGGTGGGCACAAAAGTAAAAACCAAATGCAAACCACAAAGATATACATTGTAAGAAAATGTATAACTGGTAAGAAAAATGGTATAACCATTTTAAGCCTCTTAATGTATATAAATATTTTTCAAGACTGACATGCCCTTATGTTCCCATACTAGTACAGAGCATCTGTCTCACTATGACTTTGCTAGTATTAAGTATTACTGTTTCAAAGCTTTGCCCATTTGATACATAAAATAGCTTTTTCCATCTAGTAGTTCTATGAATCACTGAAAGGGATGTTGACGTTTCCAACTATAAATGTGTCTCTCTTCAGCCATCAGTTTTTACTTCCTGTGTTTTGAAGCTCTGTTGTTTGTGGCACAAAACAATCTGATTGTTGTGTCTTCTTGGTGAACCGACCCTTTTATCATTATGTAACGTCCTTCACTTTGGGCTTCCCTGGTAGCTGTAAAGAATCCATCTGCCAGTGCAGGAGATGCGGTAGACGTGAGTTCAATCCCTGGATTAGGAAGACCCCCTGGAGAAGGAACTGGCAACTCACCCCAGTATTCTTGCCTGGAGAATTCCATGGACAGAGGAGCCTGGCCAGCTAAAGTCCATGGGGTCGCGAAAGAGTTGGATGTGGCCTAGCAACTAAACAACAACAACAAATGTCCTTTCTTGGCTCTGGCGACTTTGTTCTAAGATCTATTTTATCTCACATTAATACATCTGCTCAGCTTTCTTTTGACTGGGGTTTGCAAGGAATGTGTTTTTCCATCTCTTTACTTTTACTTATGTCATTTTACTTGAAATGAGTTTCTGAGAAACAGCATATAGTCAAGTCATGTATTTTTCATCCATTCTGTCTGTCACTGGCTTTTAACTGGTGTGTATAGACCATTTACTTTTAATACAATTATTGATAGAAGTGAAGTCTGCCATTATAATGTTTTTATCATGCTCCTCTTTCCTGACTTCCTGGAGGTTTGTGAAACATTTTTCACTATTCTGTATTGATTCATCTGTAGTGTTTATGAGATAAGTCCGTACTTTTTTGTCTGACTGCCTAAGGGCAGAGCTTCTCAGCCTCAGCATTGTTGACATTTTGGGCTGGAAGACTGTTGTATCGGACCGTCCTGTGTATCATAGACTGATTAGCAGCATCTTGGTTTCTACCAGCTGTAGATGGCAGTAGCATGTGTAATCATACCTCTAAACATTGCCAGATGTCTCCTAGGAGACAAAATCACCCCTAATTGAAAACTGCTGCTCTGAAGATTACATTGTATGTACATAATGTATCACAGTCTACTAGTATCAATATTTTATCACTTCGAGTGGAAGGTAAAGCTTTGCCATCTCTTCCTTCCCTTTATTCCACCCCCCCCCCCCTTGGTGATATGGATGCCTTCAGTGTTACCTTTATGTAGTGAGACCACTTTAGATGTTGTCATTTTTGCTTTTAACCACCAGGCATCATTTTTTAAACTTAAGAAGAATGGTTTGCAGTACCTACTCATATCGTTCCTCCTCCTGTTCTTTCTTCACTTCTGACGTTCCGGGATTCTTTCTGTTATCATTTCCTTCCTATCTGAAAACACTTCTTTTATTCCATTTCACCAGGTCTGCTGGTGAAAAATTCTCTTAGTTTACCTTCCTCTGAACATGTCTGTTTCACTCTCATTACTGAAAAGTGTTTTCCATAGATATAGAATTCTGGGTTGACTGTTTTCTTCTTTCAAGATGTGAGAAGTGTTGCCCTGCTTCCTTCTGATCTTCGTAGTGATAAGAAACCCACTGGAAAGTTCCATCCACAGGCTTTGTTCCAGGGAAGAGATGAGGCCTGTTACTGTAGGGAGGGATGGATGATAGGGCTGGGCCACCAGGATGTGGTACCCAGCGGGGAGAGCAGGGCATGATTTCTTTCTAGTTTCACTGGGAGGTAGAGTTAGGTCAGCTATGGCCACAATGTATCTCTTACTGGCTCATGTGTCTCCTATTCTTTCAGCTAAAGACAGGCTCTCCTCGGGCCTTTTTTCCTTTTTTCAGTCTGATGCTATTGGCATTTTCAGATTGGGGGAGCACCTCTCCAGAGCCCAGGCCAAGATATAAGGAAGGGGGAAATGGAAAAACAAGGACTAACTGCTGGGCAGTCCTTGAGTTCTGAGGTCCCTCTTGTTGTTTAGTCACAACGTTTGGCCACAATGTATCTCTTACTGGCTCATGTGTCTCCTATTCTTTCAGCTAAAGACAGGCTCTCCTCGGGCCTTTTTTCCTTTTTTCAGTCTGATGCTATTGGCATTTTCAGATTGGGGGAGCACCTCTCCAGAGCCCAGGCCAAGATATAAAGAAGGGGGAAATGGAAAAACAAGGACTCACTGCTGGGCAGTCCTTGAGTTCTGAGGTCCCTCTTGTTGTTTAGTCACGACGTCGTGTCTGACTGTAACCCGCCAGGCCCCTCTGTCCATGGGATCTCCAGGCGAGAATACTGGAGGGGGTTGCCATGCTCCTCCTCCAGGGCATCTTCCAGACCCAGGGATCGAAACTGCGTCTCCTGTGTCTCCTGCATTGGCAGGCAGGTTCTTTATCACTGAGCCACTTGAAGCCCTCTGAGATCCCTAGCCAGTCCATTTGCTTCTCTCCATCTTTCAGAATGTCTGTCGGTTGCTTTATGGACTTTCTCCAGACTTTTATGTTGTAATTTGCAGGAGGAATAGGGTGAAATGTGCTTATTTCATCTCATCCAGACCTCATTTCTCTCTGCATCTCTTTGACTGCTGGTACATTTGAACTGCTTTTTGTAACTCTATTAACAAAGTGTGCTGGTAAATTGACTGTCCAAAAAAACAAAAAACAAAAGCCTCGATTTGTAGGTGATTTCTCTGCTGGAAAAACTCCACCATGATCAATTTCAGGTTATTGAGGTGATGTCTCTGAGTCAGGAGCAGAGAATCAGCCGGTGTGCGCCGGTAGTGGCCAGCTCCAGCACACAGCTGCTATTAACTATATTTGTTCTGTGAGTTGTCTGTTCCCATTCTTTGCCTGTTTTTCCATATTTGAGAGTTTTTCTTCCTTATTTGTTCGAGTTCATTTTCTTAATAGGCTAAAAATACTTACCTATCCCCAGTAATTTAGTGTAAACATCTCCCTAGTTTGCCTTTCAGTTTTATTTATGTGGGTTTTTTTTTTGGTATAAAAATTCCAGTTTTGAGTATTTATTAATCCTTGATGAATCCTCCTATTCCTTTTGTGCTTACAAAGTTCTCTCGTATTTCAATCAATCAAGATCCACCTGTAACTTCTTGTTTATTTTGTTGCCCGTTGATGGTATTTTACATTCATTTTTTGAACCTGTCTTGGATTTACATTAGTGGAAGGGATGGGTACTTTCTAAACTTCTCTGGGCATGTGGATTTTTTTTCGAGAATCTGATGAAGTCTATGAACCCTCGAAAATGCATCCATACACAATACTTCTTACGCAAATTTCAGAAATTCACAGAACCCATCAGCCTCTTCTCCAAGGATTCTTGTGTCCTGAGGCTTTCCCTGCCTCTCTCTAAGTAGCTCAGTCGTGTACCATATGACACTGGGACTCTCACTAACAAGAAAAGATATTTTTACTTGCTGGTGTCTTTTTTTCCTACCAGCAGTGAGTGCCTACAGAAGTGATGACGCCTTCAAGATTTCCTTTAAAGCAGGCCTCAAAAAAGGCCTTCATTCTGTTTTATGAAACTAAGGAAATGTTACCCTTTAAACATTAGTAGCTGAAAAATCCACATTTCTCACTCCAAGCTGGGGTCTGTCTGGAGCTTTTCCGAGACATATGATCTGGATTAGGCTCGCGCTTTCTCATCACACCGAGGGGACCGGCATTAATCCCATGCAGGTGCGGCGCCTCTTGGAGGTGGTTCTTGTTTGGCGGCACAGATCGAATCCACTGACCC